AATAAGCTAGATACTCTTACTTTTTTCAGTACTACACTCTCAGGCATATTTGCAGAAAAGCTAAACATTGAATTAGATCACCAGCAACATGTAACTCTACTGTATTTCATTGTTCATTAAGATTATAAAAATTTAGACTGCACAAAGGATTTGTGAATATACATATTGCCAAGGAAGTGATTTTTATCACTTTGCATTACCTATTTCCCTGATATTTCTTGAAGACCAAACAGCTTTAATGATGACTGTGATACTAAATCTGCTGATAGAACGGCTAGTCAAACCTGGATGAAAGTCAGACTCTTCAGGGCCACTCTCAAGGCTTTTTCACTACTAAAGCCAACAACAATGGAAAGGAGAATTTGGTGTCAATCCTCTAAGTGTGTGAAATTCATGATTTATGATCGTAACAGTGTTTATGTACACTGATGCTTGCTAAAGTTAGACTCAGGTCTTAGTTTGCTACCTTTAAGTCAATGTTTATTCAATAGCCAAGAAAGCTAAACTACCTGCCTTGATTGCACAAGAACCCCAATGCCAGTACTTTGCCACTGCTTTGTTAGTTTTCTGATGCTGCTGTCTTACTGAGTTCTGTGCCTAGGGAAAAATTTAAATGGTGCCATTCATCAGTAAATTGAGCACTACATCCCAAAATCTTATCTCTAGTTGCACACCTGACATATAGCAAAGTTGCTTTACTGCAGTTTAAAGGCCAGTGTGTAGATAACCTTAGTCAAAGAACTGCAAGTTAATCACACAGTTGGGCAACTGACATCATCCATAAATTCTTCTGATATAATGGCACCAGCATGCTAATTTATGTGAAGTGATGTCCATTTGCTTATCATGGATTGGAAACTGTTGCACATAAAACAAAATTCTAATGCATCATATGGAGTTATAGCCTATGCTAATTGCTGTTGGCATATTTCCCCTTGTAACCATTTTGCCAGCTCTTAGAGATGCTAAATGCAGCTTTAAGAATGCTTCAAAACAAAGTATTTTCCCTTAAAATTAAATACACTAACTTCACTGACATGTAATGGCATTTATTTTAATGCATGCATTTATCTATGCAACTACCCAACTAATCCATATTCAGATAGAATACAGTATGCATTGGTATTTATTTAAATACAAATGGATGCTATAGATGAAAATTTATTACTAAAATCTGAATAGCAAAATTTTGTAAAATAAATATTGAAGAACATGTTTCCTACTTGGTTGGTTTAGAACTTCCTAAATCTTGTAGGAAAAAACAGAATTCAGGACTAATGAACCTATTTCACCATTACACTGAAGCTAAAACGTACAAATGTCAAGAAAAATCTGAGTATGTCCTTGTGTAGACACAGCTCAGGGTTCAAATTCATTCTTTCACCATCTGTCAAGGGACTCATTGAATCACTTCTCAACTTAACTACTAGGGCCTCTACTGGGGATACCAGCAGCCATCACATCTATTGGTTCTGCAGCAGTGGGAAGTAATGGGAATGCTGGAGGAAAACCCACCCACTCTTCAGCCAGTCTGGGAGCTAAAGCCGACAGTTATCTTCAGTTCATACAAAAACAGTGCCTTAAGTTAGGATAAGCAGTCTGTTAAGTGAGTGCAAACTCACACCTAATATGACTATTATTATTTAATTATATTTTAGGTCAATTTCTGTTAAATCAATTTCTGTTAAACTTAATTACATCCCTCTATGGCTTTAAACTGGGGCAGCTTCTATTAAGTTTACTTTCTCCTGGGGTTTTCACAGTAAAGACAAATGATAAAGGTCTGGCTACTAAATGAGGGCAGCTATTAAATAAGGACGGCTTGTATTAAAGCTGAAAGGTAAAGATGTGGCTACCGGTTGAGAAAACCCCTTAGTAAGGGAAGTGTCTTGTATTTTTAAAAAAAAGAGGGTGAAGGAGGAAAGAGAAGGAAACAAACTTTGTTCAATAACTCTTACAAGGTACAAGAAACTAACAGAATGTCCAAAGTTTCATGGCAACTTCCTCTGAAGTTTCTCTTAGAAACAAGTGAGTGGTAATTTGATACAGGCTCCTCCTTAATGCAAGAGGAGAAAATTTAGCACACCCTTGGTTCTGGAGATCGAGAGGTAAAAATGTATCTCAGAAGGACCTGCAATGTGACTTCAGGTAGTTGGTGATAAATAAAAATTCTGTCCGTATTATTCTAGAAGATAAGACTGAGAACAATATATTGTAGTTCATCTAGAATCACATCATAATTCCAGAAAGAATACAGTTTAAAAAAACTTTTGAAATTATAAATTTCTAGTGTCTATTTTGTTGGGGTTTGGTTTTGTTTGTTTTGGGGTTTTGTTTTTTTTTGGGGGGGGGGGGAGGTTATACCACTCTGGAGTTTTTAAAATCAGTCTCTTCTTTACTGTGTTTCTATTGCTATTTTTGGAGACACTTGGTTATTTACTAGCCCTGCCACTGCACTAATGCATATATTCTGATGAATACAGCTATAAGACAAATAAGAAAAAATGCATTACTTCATTTGTCATGTTGTTTTGTGGTGTTCTAGAGATGTGAAAATCTCAAAGCCAGCCTAATCTGTGTGCACAAGTGTATTAGTGGCTCTGTCCGCCAACATGTAAATTTCCATAATGCTGAAGCTGGAATAAAACCCAGCCATTTCATAAATGCACTCCTTCAATTTCAGACAATTCCTGGTGTTTTTTACAATGAACAATTGCAATAATTTTATATACACAAAATGTTTATGAACAACGAGGTTATACTCTTCCACATGTGACATGATGGCTGATGAAAATGTGCATAGAATCTCTCCTCCACCTTGTTCAGTATTCCTCATAAGAAACACAGAGGGCCACCTTGGGGCCAAGAAAGTTGGCAGCAACTTAGCCAAATGACAGGAAAAATCTGTTTGGCTGAAGGCCTACACCTGATCTTCACTAAACATCTGTTAGATTTCATAAGAAGAATGTTGAAGATAATATATGTATTAGTTTCCAAATGCAACCCAGTAAAGACATTACTGCAGTGATTTTTGATTACATTTGAGATCAGATGAATTTTTAAAACTGAAGCAATACAATCCATTTGACCAAATTTGCTCAAAAATGTATTTTTAACTTTTTTTAAAATCTGAAAGATGGATTTTTTTAACTTGAAAGACATATTTCTGTGAAATCCAGAAGACAAAACTCAAATTAGCAGAATATCAGTATATCAGTTGCCGGGTAAGAGCTCACACATACCAACTTTGACTCATTTTGATGTACCTGAAGTCATACTGCTTACTTTACTTGTTAAAGAAAAACAGCACAGAAGTATTTCTTGATTAAAATACCTATCCAATGCATAGGCTTTGTGAGTTTTAATGACCTGGAACAAATACTAGGGAGTTTGATGAATATGTGAAAGTACTGAGAGGCAAATATTTTTGTAGTCCTCCAAAGTTAGATGGACCCAGCAGAGATCTATTTTGGGTATGGGGAAATAAAACACAAAGCTCCCATCAAACTGTGTTCAGTACAGCAGGA